GGGAGAGGGGCCCCGGGCACGGCCGTGCCCACCCGGCCCCCGCCCCTACTCCTGGCTTCCTGGGGGCCTGCAAAGCCAGCCCACAATCCTTTGCCCACCAGAGCTCCCGGGGTTTAAAAACAAAGAAACCAACCTAAAACCCAACTCCTCTGTGAAGCCTTGCTTCGTAGCCTGGCGGGGGGTGTGTGCGGGAAGACCGGACCTCCATTTCCGGCTCTGTGGTCAACTGCCTGTGCCACCTGGGGTACGATCGCCTCGGGCAAACCCAAGCCAGGCGAGGACTTCAAGCCCCCTGCCGCTCCGACATTTTAGGGGTTCTCATAGGCTCGGCGTTAAATCTGACGTCGCAGAGCACAGCGCGGTTTCCCGCCCACCCACAGAGCAGGGTGTTAACATCTCGGGTTAACTTTGCTCAGTTGCTGCAGATGGTACGGTTGTGTCCCAGAGCGTCAGCTTGGGGTGTTTACCACTCTTCCCGGGAAGGGGGTGGGGGGCTGGGAAGCAGACCATATTTATGTTGAGCTTTCTTTTTTCTTGGCGAAATTCACATAAAAACAAATTTAAAGTATGAACAATTCATTGGCATTTAATGCATTCACAGTGCTACGCAAATTACCACCTCTCTAGTTTCAACCACCTTAGAACACCTCGTACCCTTTTAAGCAATTACTCCCCCCACCCTCCCCTGGCAACCACTAATCTCTGACTGTATGGATTTGCCCAGCCTGGAGATTTCACAGGAAAGAATTAATAAAACATGTGACCTTTTGTGTCTGATTTCTTTCACTTATGTTTTTGAGACTCATCCACCTTGTAGCCTGTATCAGTACTTCCTGTTTATGGCTGAATATTATTCCCTTGTGTGGATGTACCACTTTGTCCATTCATCTGTTTTGATGAACATTTGGGGTATTTCCACCTTTTGGCTTTTATGAATAATGCTTTTATGAACATTCGTGTACAAATTTCTGTGTGGATATGTTTTCATTTCTCTTGGTTATATTCCTGGGAGTGGAATTGCTGGATTTTATGGTAATTATAAGTTTAACTCTTTGAGGAACTGTCAAATTGTTTTCCATAGTGTCTGAACCATTTTACATACCCACCAGCAATGTAGAAGGGTTCCAATTTCTCCACATCCTTGTCCAAACTTATTTTCTGTATTTTTTATTATAGCCAATATTTCAATAAATTAAACTCAATTATAAGCATTTTCTTATATCATTAAAGAGTCTTTGGAATCATTTGAATAGCCATTTCCCATCCTTTGATTTTAGCACAACTTATTTAAATATTCATCTTATTGTCAGACACAATTTATATCCAAATTTTTATTGTTAATACTGCTATAATGAATGTTCTGGAATATCTTTGTCCATATTTGTTTACTTTTCTATTCTCCAGAATATATATACTTGTTAATCTTTTATAATTATTATTTTTACATAGTTTGGAACCTCACACAATTTTAATAACTTACAAAATTATGCAAAAAGTCAGAACATATTTTTAGGAGTGGAATTACTTGGTAGAATAATATGAAACTTTTAAACCTTTTGATATTACCAAAATTACTTCCCAGAAATATTATACCACTTTCTACCATAGCATTCACTGAGCATATTATCACTTTAAAAAATTCTGTTGATATACAAAAGTCGTATCTTATTTTAAATTTGCACCTTTTAACCAATGAAATGACTTTTTTCAAGTCGATGGTTCATTTGCATTTATTTTATAAATTATGTCTTTTATCCATATTTTTATGATTAACACTTTATTGATTTGTAAGTGTTCTTTAGCATTAAGGATGTGTTTGTGACATGCTTGATAAGGAAAGAGGCCTTGATCAACACAGTAATTCGACCTAACAAAAACATACACAGAGCATTCCACCCACCAGCAGCAGCACACATGTTCTTCTCAAGCACACATGGAATATTCTCCAGGATGGCTCACATGATAGGCAACAAGTCTCAACAAATTTAAAAAGATTGAAATAATACAAAGTATGATTACTGTAAACTACAAACTTTGGATCCAGACAGTGATGCGTCACTGTAGGCTCACTGGCGTTGACAGTGGGAGAGACTGTGCAAGTGTAAGGGAAAGGGCTGTGTACTTTTTGCTCAAGTTTGAACTTAAAACTGCTCTAAAAATAAAGTCCATTTAAAAAATGTAATAACTGGTATGCTAACACAGTAAACAAATTATCCCAAGGCATATCAAAACTGTGTCTGAATTCAATTTTTTAATTGATAGAATATTCAATAAACATTCACTCATACCCTGAACAATGGAAGCTCCCCTCTGCCCTCAAATTTCTTCTACCTCAAGACTGCGGCAATGGAAAATACCCAGTAAAAATGGAACACCACGTAGGGAAAAGCAAGGTCCTTTGTTCCCTCAAGCCCTTTTGCGACAACCATGAAGAGCGTGTAGAAAAAAGATGGATCACTGTAAGTGTTCACTTAAATTCAAACTCCTTTAGGAGAAATAACTATTAAAATGCCGAGGTCATCCAACCATTGAAATTTCTGTGTAGTTGACAAGTGGGTCATTCTGGAATAGGACAAGGAAGGCATGTCTCTCTGTGGGAAACTTCACCTCAAGGTGGTGGCATTTGAGAATGGCCCAGCAGTGGCACAGGTGTGAGGCCAGCAACGTTATCTGCCCGGCAAGATTATCTATCATAGTGAGTCAGGCCGGCCCATCCAGTTGGCGTGCTCTAACGCTGAAGACTGGGTACAGATAACCAGAGGAACGTGGAAGCATATTTTAAGACTTAGAAAAATGGAAAGAAGTGTTTCAAAGAGTCATGTGATATAATTCTGCACAATTTGTAATAACTAAAGTTAGTAAGAGATAACCATATTTGTCCTTCAGTTTTATGGAATGTTCTCTGTAGAACTCCAGCTGTGTGAAAAGTTACATCCAGATGTGACCCTCTGAGGTGTCAGTTTACTTCTGTTCTAATAATACCAACAATCATTGCCCACCTGTCAGCAACTGTGTGTCCCACTAGTCCACACTGGTTCAACTCACTGGCTCAGTTTCGATTCCTGTTTGTTGAGTTCTGAAAATAAAACATCTGGATGTCTGGTGTAGCTTTAATGGACAGCAGGTGCAGTGCTGGACTACTCCAGAGGAAAAATTCTGGGCAATTCCAAAACTGGGTCAACCAACTGCACCCATCAAACTAAGCCAATTCAGGTAGCAGTGTCCTTGTGAGGCTGTGGAGACCTCAGCCTAAGCTGAAGAGATATGTTGCACCTCAGGACTGTCAAAAATGAAATAAACCCAAGTAGAGTACACACATTAGAAACCAATGAAGCATTGTTAAGTGGCATTCTCTGAGTTACCGGATTGAACGAACTCAGCCCAGCAGCCTTGGCTGGACTCAGTGTCATTGTAGGATAGTGTCATCACTTTGTCTTTTGCTGTTGCCAATGCAGGATCATACCAGCCTTTCCTTCTACTTGCCGTGAATACAGGCCATTTCCAAAGCTTCACTATTCCTAAGAATAGAACCCATTTGCTTCTGACTGGTGAGGAAGAAATGAGGAAATGGAACACGTCTTAGGACCCTTGGATAGTCCTGCTGAGCAGTCCTAGACCATTGCTCTTTGCCAGGCACGGTTTCTAATTTCTGTGAAAAATGGTCACGGCTAACTGCCACTAGAGCGCAGGGTTCTGCCCAATGTGGGGTATTTAATTCCCAAGAGGTAACATCCTAACAAGGACAGGGAACAAAAATATGAGAGGGCAGTGCACCTCTAGTACTGCTTGTTTTGAAACACTCAAGAAACTTGAAGTGAGAATTGAAAACCCTTGTAGTTATGACATATAGTCTCATGTCAAAAATTAAAAGGGAACCAAAGAATTTATATGCATATATGCACAACCCAAGGACACGGACAATGGTGGGGAGAGGGACTGGGGAGGGGGATGGGACAGGGTGGAATGGGTCATGGGGAGAAAAAGGGACATCTGTAATATTTTAAACAAAAATTAAAATAAAAAAGAGGAGAGAAGACATAAGAGGAAAAAAAAATTAAAAGGGACTTTGGTGATAAACCCTTGATCCTGTGTCTCTTGGAGTTCTGAATCTTTGACTTGCTGCCTTATAAAACAAATTAGTAAATTAAGATCCTGAAACACACCCTGCTTGCTGGCCAAGAATTCCACTAGGAAACTCTTCCCTGCTTTTCCGAGCATAAAATACTTAAGTCGTCAAGGCAAATCCCAACTGGGACATGAATCACAGTGACGAGTGAGACAATACCACTAGTGGAACAAGAGAAGTGTGTCTAGAACCCTCAATAGGCCAAAATTTAGGATGATAGGTGTGGGCTTTCCTTGCCAGAAGCTCAATTACTGCCAGTGGCTACAACCCCTAGGAGGGCAGGGGGCCAAAGGGGAATATGCATGTGCCCATATTTTGTTCTGTCCACAACTATGGGAATTCCTATGTGAGGATGCAAAGAGGAAAGAAAAAATCAAGTGTCCTTTATTCTGCCTAGTAGGCATATCCAGGAGCCATATGCTGAATCCTGTCTCAACAGGCTGCTGGAAGGTTCCCTGGGCCCAAGGCACACAGCTAACTGGGAGATCTCTCTCCAGAGAGATTGTAAGGGTGGACAGCAGTGAGAAACTAAAGCTGGGGAGAGGGGAATGGTGAGAAAGAAGGATCAGGATGGGGGGCTGTGAGGGGCCTTGAAGGATCTACGCTGGGCATTTTGAGGTGAGAAGCTTTTCCACCCGCCCTCCATGTCCAGGCTGTGGGTAGAGGTGGAGCTGCTGTTCCCCACTGTTGTGCTATATCCTTCTGGAAGTCCCTTTTCCTTTTCCTGCTGTGGATAAAGTGTGGGAGCAGAAATCATTCATCAGAAGAGTGCAGAAGCCACTCACTGGAGTCTCAGCTTTGGGGATGAGCTGTTTGGGGCTTCAGGAATGAAATGGAAGGCAGGAGACAAGAGGAGGCTAGAGAGGCTACCAGTCCAAGGACAGAGGCTCGGAGCTATGTGCAACAGGGCCAGAGAAATGTTCAGTGGAATTGTGGATAGGAGGCTAAGATACCCCTGGGCTCAGTCACCACCAAGGACGGAAAAACTGGGGCAGAGGCAACTGACCACTTGCCTAGAAGACAGAGCTCAGGCACCAAGTAAAAAAGATCCCACACAGAACTGCCCCCCAGCAGTCTCAGATGACCCGTCTCCAAGCCAAGGAGGCAGGGCCTATTGCTGGGATATCATGGCAAGTGCCCAGTCCAAAAAAGCCACTGTGATGTCCTGTAGGCAGAGCCAAGTCCAGCGGGCAGCCTCACTAAGCTGTGTCTTCATGCAGTCCCAAGTCACCGGACCTCTGGGAGGAAAGTAGGACATTTGTTGGGAGTAGTTGTGTGCAGCTGTATTAAGTCACAAGGCTGCAACTCAGACCCACAACTGCGTTCCACAGTGTCCAAGGGACAAGCAAGGGGCAGGGCAGAGAGACTGAACAGAGGAGCCTTATTCCTGGAAAAAGGGCATGGGGGCCATTGGGGCTCCTGCTCGAGCCTTGGATAAGGGTCTCACCTGCATGCCTTTTCGCAGTGCTGCTGGGCCTGGGCCAGGGCCTCAAGCAGCATGTGCCACACTGGTAACAGCACGCTGTGGTAAAGAAGCACGAGCAGCTCCCTCAGAGAATGGAACAGCTGGTTCAAGATATCAGGGAGCTGGAGCTGGACCATGGAGAATGAATATGGTTAGGTGCCCTGGGGATGCATCCTGGCCTGAGCACCCAGTCCATGCCCCTTCCCAAGAACTCAGCTGCTGGGGAGACCAGCCCTTCTCTGACTCCTCTGTCTCTGGCTTACCCGTTGAGAGAGACTGGTGAGGCTGTCACCAAAACAGGCAAGGTGGGAGGCACAGTGGGCAGAAAGGAAGCTGACTGTGGCATTGATATGGGTCCAGGCGAGCTGCAAGCTGGGCCTTACCACAGTCAGCAGGTGAGAGCCCCAGGCAGGCAATGTCTCCTCTAGCCAGCTATAGAAGACAGGAGAGAGGAGGGCTGAGTTTCCTCAGACAGCTCAGCTCCCCAAACACAATTGGAAGGGAAAAGAAAACCAAAATTACTTCCCACTGACTGTCAATGCCATCACTACCCTCAACACCCAATCCCTTGCTCTCTCCTCTCCTGCTCTCTCCCCTCTCCCTCCTCCCGTCCCTGCAAGGTGCTCACCTGTAGCCTTGCAGGCTGTAGGAGTAGATCTTGAAACACATTTTTTGGCCAGCAGGCAAGAAACCAGATGACTGAAGCAATCGGCCAGAGAGGGAGGCTGGGTAAAAGGGGCCTCTGGTGAGCTGG